AAACTTTATACATAACAAGTTAATTATCCACTTCATCAATATTACTGAATCACTTTTTTATTAATTATTTCTATCTTTTAATAGTGATAAAATATATTTTTTATGAGCCTTACATCTTTAATGCCTTCACGAGTTACACCTTAATGACATCCAACTCTTTGACAGTAGTGTAGTTGCAGAACTTGTTGTATTTGGTTCAGGACAACGAGCATGTAATGAGATAGCACGCGTTGGTGTTGTTCTACAAGATGTTGTAATCTTCTTGAGTATATTCATTCTCAGGCTTAGTGACTACAACATCACCTTGTGTTATGATTCTCTATTGGGGATATTGTGTGTACTTAATGAACATTTCCATTCGATTCTTTTAGTATGGGTAGTCTTCTCTATTAAAGGCTAGGGGCCTTGTAAGAGAAGCTCCTTCTAGTAGATATTTTCCTTCACTACTTCTCATCTAGATATTTTTCCTTTAGCATGTTAGATACCCAACCCCATCAAAGGGTGAGCTCTGATACCAAACTATGGAGAAAAGATAGACACTAGAAGAGGAGTTGAATAGTATATTTCAAAAACTCACACGTTTGCAAGTACATAAAGTAATATTTGCAATAGACAAAGGGTTAGCAGAAGTAATCAATTAACATAGGAAGTTTTTATTTTGATTCACCTCAACCACCGAGGTTATGTCCAATTCTTAATCCAACTAAATTGAGTTGATCCACTAACTTTCAACAAATTTACAAATATTCTTTTATCAAGCCACTTTTGGCTCAATACAAGTGTTCTTTGACTGACCTGTTCAAGCCATTACCCAAGTAATTCTTTTTACAAATAAGCCTCTATAGGCTCAACCCCAAGTATTCTTTTACAATCAAGTTTCTTCTGGCTCTACCCTATAACAATAGTTATGAAGGTATTACAAGGTTGCAGTTGTTGTCTCTTGAGTTGTATATTTTTTCTATATCTCAAAATCTTCTCTATGTATCACTTGTTATTTTTCTTTTGAGTTCTATAGCTTCTTATATAGTGGCTTTGAAAAATATGACTGTTGCAGCTTCTTAAGTCTAATTAATAGAATTTTTTTGTCTTACTTCTTCGTTTAATCTAGAGGGAGAGGAAGTATTCGTTAGTGCATTAAATGTTTCAATTAATGTCTTTCAAATAAATGTACTTCTTATCTTTGATAAATAAAGCTACTTATTAGAGCAAAGTAGCAAAATGATAACATTAGGAAGCAAAGTTAGTGTCCAGTGAGGATGTAGTCCATTTTGCTACTTTTTTTCCATAAAATTTGGGATCTTTGTCCTTTATTCTGATGCTCTACATGCTTTTATATACTTTTAATAGAATGTGAGTTCTAAGACTAAAAATTTTAATTTGTTAAAGTATAAAACATTCATTTTAAAAATTTCAAAGCATAAGTCATAATAAATAACAGTCATTAAAAATAATTATATGCTTCATCTGATTAGTTTTGTCTTATAGACGCTACTTTGTCTTACAAAATTTGAAACAACGACTTTTTGAAAACGTTTTCTTTTTTAAAAACATAGTATTTGTTATCATTAAAACATGAAAAATAAAATATCTAAGATCGTCTTTTAACTTAACAATATAGATTATAAATTATAAATTATAAATTATAAATATAGATTTTAAATTTATAACATATATAAGTCTATAATCTATAATTCCTTAAATTTTTAAATAATAAAAAATAATATTAAAAATTAACTATTCTTACAAAGATAAGAGTTGAACTCAAGATCTTAAAATTTGGAAACCAAACATAATAATAGTTGATCTAACAAACATTAAACATTTTTTATTAAATTTAAATAAAATCTATCTATACCTATTATAAAAAGGAACCTATTATAAAGGGATATGTTTCAATAATCACCTTTTTTGATTTTCACTTTTGATTTGACAATTTTACCACAATTTTTAAAATTACTCTATATGATTACATATTTCCAAATTTTAATTTTTTTACAATTATTTTAATATCTTACTAATATATTTATACTAATATATAAAGGACGTTTACTCTTTTTAGTAACTATTTTGGTCTTCACATTTTATTAACTATTATATCCTTTTGGTTTAAAAAATTAGAAAAATAATATCTTTTTTATTTATATTAACATATAAAAGGGACACTCTTTTTAGTAACTATCTTGGTCTCCATAGTTTATTGACTATTATATTCTTTTGTTTTAAAAACTTAGAAAAAATAATTTTTTTTATCAAATTCAAGAACTTGAAACTATTGAAGTAATCATAATACTAGTTGGATCAATATACTTTTATTACTTAATTTTTATTTTTATTTTATTTTTAGTAAAGGCACGAAATGCCTCGATCTCATTAATATTTATTATCTATTATAAGTATGTAATTACTTTTTATCTCTATTTTTTAATGAATAATTCTATCCCTTAAATGTAAAAAATAATTCTTATATGCTCTTTATATAATTAGACACAACTTTCTAATATTTGATACGTGTATAACTATTACAAACATGTCTCGACCCCTATTATATATAGAAATAATAAATATGAATTGACACAAACTAGCTCTTCCCTCCCTGCTAAGTATATAGAGTAAGGACACTCGGTAATAATTTTGATAAAAAGTGTCACTCACAAAAACAAAAAACCCTTCTCAGGTGGTTAAAAAAAACCGATCTACAAATGTAACTGTAAGTGAAGTCTAACCGCAATTTCAAAACTTTCACTTTATAGCATCACTTGGAACACTAACTTGTACATGCGTTACGTTAATTACCACCCTGAACCCATCAAAAACAGTTCCACTCATCAAACAATGTTCCGGTGGCGCATAAACAACACCACCGTGGGAATCCTCCAAACCCTACCCATGGTGGCGGGCCTGGCGGCGATGGGCGTCTCCGCCTACATCCGCGTCCACGGCGGCTGCGACAGGGTCCTCCACTACCCTCTCCTCTTCGGAGGCCTCTTCGTGTCCGTCGTCTCCACGCTCGGCCTCATGGCCGCCCTCTGCCGCCTCAGCTCCGCCCTCTACCTCTACCTCCTCCTCGCCTTCTTCCTCCTCCTCGCCTTCGCCTCCTTCACCGTCGCCGCCCTCTTTGTTACCGCAACCCACGCGCCGGACCACCACGCGCCCCACCTGGGCTTCCGCGTACGCGATTTCTCCCCCTGGCTGCAGCACTACGTCACCCACCAAAACCACTGGGATGAGGCCAGGGCTTGCTTGCTTAGATCGCGTGTCTGTCACCACCTCGACGTTCGTCGTAACAACGACTCTCGCGTCTTCGACCACTTGTCTTCCACGCAGGTTGGTTCCTCATGGAAAAACTTATAAAGTGTGATCAATACTAATTATTGATGTTATTTTACGTATATTTTAATAATATGCACTTATATTTAACATAAATTATTATTAATATATATTTACGTATATTACGGGGTTATAACTTCAATCTTGATCGGACAGGAGCACCTAACACGTTTAAGCAACTGTACATGAAAGTTTTGTTCAAAACTTCAAAACTTAAATAGTGGGTACTTGGGTTTACCAAAACCAGATACGTACTATCCATGCGACTCTATTACAATGGGTAATTCTCTCGTGTTAAATTTTTACTAAAGTTTTATACTTTTCCATAAAGGTTCATAAATTTCACAAGAGTAAATACATATATATATAGGAGATTTTTAACAATAATATCTAATTATAAACTCTTATTATCGGTGAGATTGTTGACTGATATCATAAAAGTGATACACACTCTTCAACGGTGATCTTTTTCGGTTTTCTTATTGAATAGAAAATAGAAAAATATATATTATATACATAAAAATTTGAATCTAGGTAATAGTAGGTATTGAATTAATATTGTAAGGGGAAATGATTCTTGAAAATCATTGAGATGTCTACATTTTAAGAGAGATGAGAAGAAAGGAAAGAAAAATGATTGATGTAATTGGTAATTATAACGTGATATGATTAAAAAGAGAGAGAGAGGAAATATAAGAGATCTTTTATAGGTTTTTCTTATTAAATCGAAAAAAAATATATAAAATTTTGAAACTATGTAATAGTAGGTATTGAATTAATATTGTAAGGAGATGATGCTTGAACATTATTGAGATATCTACATTTTAAGAGAGATGAGAAGAAAGAAAAGACAAATAATTGGTAATGTGAAATGAAAGAGAGAAAAAAACAAGAGGTGTTAATAGAATGTTTGTAATTTGTGATGTCCAAATATCACCATCCTAATCATGTTTAAATGACAATTTTATTAATTAATCATGCTTAGTTCAGGACCGAAACTTTTCTATTTCAATACTTTTAAGCCTACCACAGCAACAAAATGGACGAGAAAAGAAATCATTTTGGATGATAAATCAGTTAATGTGAATGGCTGTGCCATGCAATTAGATGAAAGCTATTTGTTTATTCATATTTGCGAATGTACACTGCACAGTTTGGGTGCTGTATGCCTCCAGTGCAATGCGGATTCAGAATGAAGAACGCAACATTCTGGGAAGTGCCAAAAGCGGGTCCATCAGTGAACGATTCAGATTGCATGGCTTGGAATAACAGAGAAGACAAACTGTGTTACGATTGCGATTCATGCAAAGGTGGAGTGCTGGCGAGCATCAGGAAGCAGTGGAGACATCTCACTGTATTCAACATTTGCATCATTGTTCTTGTCACCACCGTATATGTCTTAGGCTGCTACGCCATTAGGAACAATCGATTGGACTACACCAGTTACAAGTCCCAGAGACGCATCAGAATACCCTTGACAGTTATTCAGGGTTTTTACTATTAACTCATCATTTTCAAGAGTTTGTAGGTCTCTCTATATATATGGCATTATGCTCTTGTTTTAGTGGTGTTGTGTCTTTGCTTTAATTGTGGTTGTGTTTACTTGAAACATCTCTTGATCTATAAATTGAGCACGTAGCTAGTTAGGTAGTTGATACCATGTTATGTAATTTGATGACAACATTATTAGATTGGTATGTAAAATCTTGGATATAACATAGATGGGTTAGGGTATGTTACTCCTTTTACCAATATATCATATATATGTTACTCCTTTTACCAATATATGATATAGTTCTTTCTTTGGCCGATGAAAACAAAAACTCGTGATCCTCATTTTATTTTATATTTTGATATATATTCTCTTTCCACCACATGAATTATCTTATGATGTACTCTCTTTTCTCTTCTTGTTTTATTTATTTATTTATTTATTTTATATTTATAATTTTTTAATACAAAAATTATGTAGGAATACATTTTCTCTTTAAGGATTCTCACTACGAACGTATTTGGTAGGGACAAATAGCATGAAATTAAGAGTAGAGGTAAGCACTGGATATTGTGCCTCTAATTAAGCTCCTTAACAACCGATTTTTTTCCCATGATAATCTAATATATATGAATTCTTTATCTATAATCAATTGTCTAACAGTGATTTTTCTGCTTTATATATAATAAGAAAATCGATTCTTCCTCTTTATAATATCTTCTAATAATGATTTTCCATCTTTTTGTAATAGATTCTTTCTTATAATCTTATATAGAGTTAGTTTATTTAAACTTAAAACAGTGAATTTTAAAAAGTAATTTTTAAGAAACAAATTGAAGTTGTTTTTGAAAAAATACATAAAATTTTTTATTTTTAAAATAGGTAATTTAGACAAGCACAACAAAATCAAAATTAGAAAACTACTTATTTTATTAAAAAATGAAACGTTTAAATAAATAAGTATTTTTAGGGACTTTTTTAGTTTGTAGGGATTTTTTTAACTTTCTATCTAATTCAGTTTTTATTTATTATAATTATTTATGTATTAAATATTAATATTAATATGTTAATACTCGACATTGATGTCATTGAACAAACTTATGATCGATTCAATCGTTGTTGGTGAATTTGTCCAAATATGCATGCTTCTCTGGCCTATGTTTGTATGCTTTGCTTTGGTTGTAAGACCTATACCTATTCAATAAAACTATAAATAAAAAAAAATAGCACCAAGTAGGAATTGAATTATAGACTTGGTGGTAAAAGCTATAAAATATTGTTCACTAAACCAATTGAAAATTTGATTTTATATTTTACAATTATATATAAAGTTATGCATGCACAACATTATTATAGGATGTTTAACAATTAAAATATATATACTTATATTAAATTAAATTTTATTTATATCAATTCATGCAATTCAGTGAATTTTCTAATGATTTAATTAATAATTTATGGTAAAAATATACTTTTCGTCCCTTATATTATTTATTAGTGTTAATTTAGTCTTACTTTAATTAATTAAATCAATTTAGTCCCACATCTTTAAAATGTATAATGTTTGACCTTCCGTTTCCTCCGTTTAAATATTTAACGGATGTAACACGTGTCATGCTATCATGCCATGTGGCATGACACATGACATGATGACATGACATGTAGAATTGTAGCATGACACGTGTCATGTCATCATGACACGTGTCAGATCTGTTAAGTATTTAAACGGAGGAAGAAACGGAAGGTCAAACATTGAGATACATTTCAAAGATGTGGGACTAAATTGATTCAATTAATTAAAGAGACTAAATTGACATTAATAAATAATATAAGGCAGGAAAAATATATTTTTGCCATAATTTATTGACTCAGTACCTATACCAAGGCAATCACTCTTAGCATATATATATATATAATAGATTTATTTTAATCATAAGTGTAACCAGGGGTTAGAATCTTAGTTAATCAGTGGGTCAATTGTTTGTTTTCATAACAAACTTATATGTACATATAATATATAGTATATAGTGTTAACAAATTTATGAGATGAGATGCAGAAAATATTTTCTCTTCCTATTTTCTTGCTGCGTTCTTTCTCCTTTTTGATTTTCATGGCTAATACCAATTATATGAATCATTGATCTTGATTTTATAACTATGGTCGTAAAAACTAGAATATCAAGTAAATAAATTATTTTGTCTTAGTAAACATATTATCTAGAAGTTAAGAACTACACATAGTTTGGGATTGTTGGATGAATCAAAATAACGCATTGAGATCTCATCAGTTCTATGTGTTCATACTAACTTAATACATAAATATTTATGAAAAATGTTCAATTTCTTAGGAAAAATTTGTTTATAACCAAAGTTATTATTGTACCATCTTAATTATTTGATACCTGAGTCCCGTTAAACAAATTTCTTCATAAGTATTTTAGAAAAAATTAGAAAAATAATTAAATAAACTTTTTCATAAATTAAAAAATAACTTATACCTAAACTAATTTATAGAAGTTCTTTCATATTAACTTATTCAAAAATTATTATTTTAAATTTTTAGGTAAATTAATTTTATCTTTTGAAAAAAATTATTTTCTTTTTTCTTTTTATTTTTTTCTTAATTAGTGCGTTTGTGCACTATCGTCATGTTTGGGATAATACTGCTTGTTAATGGTGTGGCCATAATTATTGAGAAAAACTCAAGTCCTGCCAATCCTAGATCATTAAAAAGGACTACCCATCATTTATCCACCTACCAAGCTCAATAGTGCTGGACGTGAGAAGATGTATTGAGAAAAATTCAAGTCTCACATCGACTAAAAATTAGGTAATTGAATAATATATAAGTGGAAAGTAATCCTCACCTTACAAACCGGTTTTGTAAGGTTGAGTTAGGTTTAAGTCCATTATTCTAAGATGGTATCAGAGCTATCCTACATTCTTAAAAATGGGTCACCTACCATTGATACATGCTCTATGGGTATGAGGGAGTATATCGAGAAAAACTCAAGTCTCGTCAATCCTAGATCATTAAAAAGGACCACCCATCATTTATCCACATACCAAGCCCAATAGTACTAAATGTGAGGGGATGTATTGGGAAAAACCCAAGTCCCACATCGACTAAAGATTAGACAATTAAATAGTATATAAGAGGAAACCAACCCTCATCTTACAAACCAGTTTTGTAGGGTTGAGTTAAGCTTAAATTCACTATTCTAAGAATAACACTAAAGATATTTATCATATTTTCGTTAAATATGTGGTGTTCCAAAGATAGTGTTGCGACAACTAGGTATTGGTTAGAGTCATATTGTTGGGGACACAGTGGACTTAGCTTTTAGTTTTACAAGAGGCGTTCAACAATCATGACATAAATCTCCTCATTGGCCTTTGGTTGCATTGGAAGTCTCATAATGAGGAAGTGTTCACTTAGTCTCCAATGGATGCCCATGTGATTGTTAATCGAATGCAGGGCATGAGCAAGATTGCTAACATTGCATTTTGTATTAAACTATTAATTCTTGTCCTCCACAACAAAGTGATGATATTTGGGTGTCTTGCATTCTAGCTCAGGATACTCAAGTGTTTGTTCACGTGGATCAGAGTGCCCTTGGTTGCCTTGGTTCTACAAGATATGGTGGCCTTCTGAGGGATGGTTATGGGCATTGGCTGGTGGATTTTTTTTTTGGCGTTATTAGCGTCGTGGATAAATTCAAAGTTGAGTTATTGGCTATCCTTCATGATCTCAGTTCAGCTTGGGAGAGGGGTTACAATGTTTCTGATTCTTTATATGCCTTCTCCTCCATTAACCACGAGCTCGACCCCGTTTCATAGATATAACCAAGATGGGCGGGCTATGGTGCCCTTGGCTTGTCTTGGTCGAACCAAAAACTAGGGAATTGGTTTGCTTTGGTTAACCAAATGAAGGTTGAACCAAGTCAAATCAATTCCTTAGGCCAAGAGAAGAAAAATAAGCTTAATATCACTTTTTTTTGCTATTTCCACACCTTTGCTACTTCCACACCACCTAGAATGGTTATTGTCACACCACTAAAATGGTTATTTCCACTTTAATTACTAAACTAAAAGAAAGCTAGAATTTGGTGACCATGAATACATGGTCAAATGGAATACATTTCAAAAAGGAACATGACTTTAAATTCTAAAGTCATAACCTAAAAACAAAGAAACATACATCCCTAAATACAAGGGCACAAAAAAACTATACACTTAACTACTATATATAGAGGAGTGGAAAGCAAACTATACAAAGTATATACAATAAAAGACTAAGCAACTAGAAGAAGAACAAATACTTTATGCTCATGTTAAGCAAAGGTCTAAAATGCACATCCCCTCTAATAGCTTCCTTTAGCCTCCTAACCATAAACCTTCTTGAAGGTTTTATGGCCTTCAAGGATGATCCTCGTCAAACAACTTTTGTCACCCTTCAGTTTGTTGGGGATCCCAAATGCATTCACATGTATAATTGCAAAAGAGAAAGTAAATTAACAAAACAAGAGATTTATGTGGTTCAGTCAGAATAACCTACATTCACGTCCACACTAGATGGTATTTTCTATTTCATAATTAGGTTTATAATTACATGAGTATTTATAAAATAAAAAAAGAAAGAAAGCAAATGGGCCAAGCCCAATAAACCCTTCAGACTCCACATACTTAACAATCTCCCACTTGGAGGTTGATCACATCAACTACACTCCAAAGTAAATCTAGTAAACCTCAAAACCATAACACCACCCAACTAGTGTGACGCCTTCTCAATAATTAACCATTAAAGCTAGTTGAAGCTATGCAAAGTTTCAACTTCTTAGTAGTAACCACCTTAGTCAACATATCTGTTGGATTCTTTAACCTAGGGATCTTCTTCAAGAACAAAGTACCATCATTGATTAGTCCTCTAATGAAATGGTATCTCAACTAGATGTGTTTTGTCTTTGCATGAAACACATGATTCGTTACAAGATGAATGACACTCTAATTATCATTATAAAGAACATTGTCACACTGCTTCTTGTCCAACTCTTCAAGAAAATTCTTCAACCAAATCATTTCCTTACCGACTTCTAAAATAGCCATGTACTTTTCGTCTGTGGTTGAAAGTGCAAATCTTTTCTAAAGTCGAGACATGCAACTAACTATTGTTCCACCTAC